CACAATCTGTGTTGTAACTTTGCAAGTTTAACAGCCCTACGTGAATATTTTGCAGCAGCATTAGCATTTAGAAAACTAACAAACAATAGGGAAGAAACAAAATTTGTATTGATTTGCCTCTTAAGCTGTAAATTACTACTACTGCTGGTACAAAGAGATCATGTGACTCAGTAACATGGCAACAATGAACAAGGCACTTAGATTTTTTTTTAAAGAAAGAAAAAGGTGCAATTTATGCTCTGTAATGATCCAAAATGGCAGGTGTGATTCTGGCTTAACAAAATGGCATCCTAGTAGGTATATTAACTAGCCCTCATCATCCTTATTGACCTGTGTACAGCCTTTGTTATGGTCAATCATGTTAGCCTGTTCCAACACCTCTCCTTCACTGTTCAGTTAAGTAGGTCTGCCTTTGGCTGTTCCACTGTTATTTAACCAGTAATAGCCAGATAAGCATTGCTGCTGTTCCCACTAAAGACTCCCAGGGAAGGGGGGACTCTGTGATTCCTCTCCTACATCTCATCTGCATTCTACACTTGGTGATAGTGTTAGATTTCACATGCTGACTGCGCCTAGCTCTCCCTCACTATCACCTCTCGAGCACTACACCCTACTTTGTCATGTTACCTGTCTGACTACCATGAGACAAGCAGAAATTCCCACCAACTACATACTGTGTATTTATATTGATTGAAATAGACAAATTCAACTCCTCCCTCTCCCTCACAAAAATAAATAAATTCAACTCCTCCCTCTATTCCTCACTCTGCCCACTGTTTGAGGCCGAACAAGCCTGCTCTCAACCTTAGTGTTACTTCTGGTCCAAGATAAGCTTTCCCTCCGTTCAGTCACTGAGGCATCCGCAACATAAGCCACCCGCCACCCCAGCTCATCTGCCGCTGGAGCCCTCACTATGCCTTTATTAACTTGACACGATTATTTCAATACTCTGCTGGGCACCTTCTCACCTCCATAAACTTGAGCACTCACAAACTTCTGCTGCCTGCACTTAACCCACACCATGTCGTGTTTTACTTGTCATCCTTGAGCTCAATGACTTATGCAAATTCCCAGAACAACAATACTTCGATTTTGAAATTCTTGTCATTGACATCAAATCCCTCCGTCACCTCAACCCTACCTTTGTAACTTTCTCCAAACCCACAACTCTCAAACTTCTGCACTCCTCCAGTTCTAACCTTTTGCACATTCCCAACTCCAACACTGGCAGTTGAGCCTTCAGCTGCCTTGTCCTAAACTCTGGAATTCCGTCCCTTAACACTCCACTTTCCTGCTTATTTTTATAATCCTTCTTAAAATCGACCTCTGTACTAATATTTCATTACATGTCAAAATCTGATTGACAGCACGAACCATGCTTTGCTATGTTCAAGGCACTATACAGTGACCTCATCTTATTGTCTAATCTGAAAGATGCCACTTCTAAAAGTGCTCCCATAATACTGCACAGAAGTATCAGCCCAAATTATGCGCTGAACACTCTAGAAGGGGCTTGAGCCCACACTTGTTGATTTGCAGGTGTCACTACTGCCATTTATATTAGGTGCTACCAAAAATGCATATCAGTGCTGCGCACTAAACAATGTTGCAACATTTAATTTAGGTAACATAATTACTACTTTTGAAACAGCTAACTAGCTAACCTAAGATGTGGCTCAAGGTAACACAAAAGTAAAAACTGCCCAGATATAGTCCTATTTCAATTTACCTGTCCACTTTAGGCCTTTGCTCAGGTACTGCTTGTGTTGAGGTGGGCTAAGAGGACACCATCCTGGGGCTAATTGGTAAGGCAAGTTTCAGTGGTTTTAGCAAATATTTGTAGCTTTCCAGCTCCTGCTGGTCAGCAAAGGATAGGGTATCAAAATCAAAGGAACAGCTGGTACACTTCCTCCTTTCTTTCCCCTAGTATACTTAAAACACTTGCAACTGCTGTCTGCATTGTGACTGGCACAAAACAGACCCTCAATTTTGATTTTTAAAAAATAAATTTTTATCCACACAAGTCACTTCAGAAAGTTATTAGTTTGCATGCTTCGAGGCCATCATGATTTCATGCAAGATTATTCAGAACATAGATGTCATTTATTCAACAGCAAACTCCTCTCACAACAGCATCAATTGTGTAACTGGCATCATCATGAACAGCAAACTGATACACTTGTTTAAAGGTCAATCTTTTGTTGCTTTGCAACTCTATAAAATGCAGCAATCTACTGTTTTTAAATCAAACATCTATCAGGCATTTAGTACCCATGCACTCGTTTTTGTTTACACATCTTTTGAGGTTTATCCAAATGGAAAGTTGGGCTTGGTGGAAATGAATCCTTTTGTGATTAGGACATGTGGTGAATGTAACCTGCATTTGAAGGCTCAGTTCTTCATAATTACAAGGGAATACTAGATATCCTAACTCAACATCTGCTGTTCACAACTCATTTACTTCAAGTCAACTTTTGGTTACAGCTTGGAAAAATACTTCATTCACATTCAGTATGGCTCTTGGAATCTGCACATCTTGGGGCACATACAGGAATTAGATATAGCTGGTTTCTGCTGCTACCCTTCCACAGGGACACACTTTTTAACGAGTTCTAAATGATGCTTCGTATCCTTCAAAATAAAGAAAAGGACTCAATCTCACTGACGAATTCACCTTCCAATCCCGAACAAAATATATTTAATTAAAAACTGATGCGGATGCTGTAAATCAAAGTCAAAAATAGAAATTGCTGGAAAAGCTCAGTAGGTCTGGCAGTATCTGCGGTGAGAAATCAGAGTTAACGTTTCGGGTTGAGTGACCCTTCCTCAGAACTTCCTCATCCCAAAACGTTAACTCTGATTTTTCTCCACAGATGCTGCCAGACCTACTGAGCTTTTCCAGCAATTTCTATTTTTGTCTAAAATGTATTTAAATATTGTGGTAATGCTTATCAAGGGCTTCGCTTAGTGAAATGATATCTAACAGGTAGGCAACTAAATATCCAAAAACTTAAAAGTATTGTTTCAGATGCACTTTTACATTTAAAAACTCAATTAGTTTCCCAAGCAGTTAAAGCTTGCAATAAGCAACACCAAAAGGAGTTTCTCTTCCTAACTCCTTTGAGACAGATGAGACCACAGGCAACAAACACTGACAGGAAATGGCTTTCGTAACAAAGTTCCAGACCAACATGGGCATTTAATGTTCGCACTGTTGCACAGTGACTGTTAGAGACATCATGAGTGTACAAGGCATTTGTTTTTATCCTATGCTTTTCAGTAAATTGGTTATAAACATGCCTCCATACTACTTTAAAGATCTATTTTACTGCTTTGTTCTGTAATAAAATGTCCATTAAGTCTCAGTCACAGCTCTCTGTAAAGTTAATAGGACCACATGAAAGAAAAAAGCTTAGATTGATTACAAGAAATCACAAAGACTAAGGCTATGCAACAGAGGTCCATGTAGGAACTGGCTGGTTTCACTTTTACTAACAGCTTCAATAATCAGCTGTGTGTCCCCAAAATACCCTAACACTGTCGCACTCTCTGGTTGGAACTAAGCCAGAACTATATTACAATACCTCTCTTTAAAAAGAAAACTGGTGTTAGGAAACACTCAACATGAATAAACAACAATCCAAGCCAATCCATGCTTAAAAGCTACCACAGCAACAATAAAAATAAACTACATTTATAGTGCAGTTTTAATAAAAGAAAACATCTTAATGTTCAGACGGATGAGGGAAAAAAAATTATCACAAGCAAATGAGAAATCACTAAAATGTAGGAGAAAGTGTAGGGTCAGAAAAGAGACTGTTAGCAATATCTACAAGTCAGGTTCAGAGTAGGTAATGGAGAGGAGGGGGCAGTGGGTTCCAGAACATGAACTTTAGTGGCTAAAGGTGTGTGTCAAGAAAGGAGGTTATACACAGATCCTGCAAAAGATTAAAATTATAAGTGCAATACTCCCTCATTACATGTGAATCCAAAACAAATTTGAGAATACTGCACTATTTATAGCATTGCCCACTCTGTGAGACTAACACATGAAGAACATCAAAAAAAAGCTCAATTCCCCTTAAGGAGTTTTCTTAAGCAAGATCCAAATTGTGGTTATTCACAATACATCACCTGAAGTATTTCAATAACCCCTTCTGCATATATGTCCTTCAAAGCGCAGGACCATATAACATGGATATCTAACCTGCTGCCCTTGAGCTTCACAGTCTGGTTCTTGAAGGCCAAGTAATCCAACCCTCTATGCATTTCGATTTCCTATTTGCTCTGCTTGAATGTCATGGCCATGAAAGACTGTAAAGGCATGATTTGACCAAGAGTCTAACTTCTTGGTGTATCACTCCTCAGGACATAACACCAAACCTATATCAGCTATATACAAATTAGGTGAAACCAGATTCAAACCTGTTTTGTGATATCACTGGAGTTTTGCCATATATTAAACATGCCTGCAAAATCCTAAAAGAGTTCTTCATGTACATTACCTCTATTCCTCATTATTTTTAAGATTTCCACCTCCTTATAAATTAGTGTCTCTCTTGTGATACACCATCCTTGACAGCCTGTTTCTAGGTCCTCTATCTTTAAGGATATTTTGCAATCAACCTGTTCAGAGATGTTATCACACACCTCTGGAGCAGATGGGATTTGAACCCAGGCCTCTTGGTCCAGAGGTAGGGGCACTACCATTGTGCCGCAAGCATCCTTAATACAGCTTTAAAAGCTGAATGCTGGGAAGATGCACAAGATCAATCGTTTGATTACACTCCTCCATGACACAGGCCGAGGTCAGGAATTCAGCCAAACATTCAAAACAACTGGCTGACCACTGCTCAACCGAATTTGAGTTAAACGAGAGAGAGAACAAAAAAGGGGGATTTGCAAGACGAGCTACAAAAAAGGTACAAGGCTACAATTGGGACGGAATACCCTTGAAACAACCCTAAAGCATAAACAACACTGGGAGCACATTCCCTTACCTGCAATACTGTTAGATTCGCCTGTCCAGACAAGCTGAGCTTCTCTTGCTCTGATGGATAGGCGTTCAGTCGGTGTTCGTACAGCCAGTCCCGCAGGATCTTCACCGACTCTTTAGAAAATATCACATGCCGCTTCCTTTTCTTGGAATGAGCCATGTCGGAAAGCAAGCTGCCGTCGTCTTCTCCCGTCTCGCTGTCTGACATGGCTATGTCCCCTGGTCTCCTCTGGCTACTGGTGAAGACTGCAGACATACACACACACACACACACACGCAGAGAGAGAGAGAGAAGCAACGCCAACAGTGCAGTGTTAGTAACTAGGCACATCATAAACTGTAACACAAAGCCATTCGGGCAGATTACTACCTAAACCCCCCCCACCAAACCAACATACTTAAAAGGGGGGATGGGAAAAACAAGTTCAGAAGTTTCTGGCAAAGCAGTGAAGAGGAACGAAGTCCCTCACGCTCCCACCACTAAAGCACAAGTTTCTCTTTCTTTGAAACTAAAAAGAAACACACACTCCTTTATTTTGCCAGAAGGGAAATCTTCAATTAACTCCAAGAGAGAGCAAACATCTTCGCCACCATCCTGTTGAAAGATTGTTTCAAGAACAACACTTTTCCCCCCTCTCCTAAAACAAAATCCACGTAATAATAAATGAAAAGCAGAGAACAAACTTATGAACAAACTTTGCCGCCATTGACAAGTGGCTGAACACTGTCCCTTTTGTTGCTGTGGAAGAGGAACTTGCAAAGAAGGGTATTCCCAGTTCAAACTAAGCCCATCTGTCAGATGAACATTCCCAAGAGGTAGTTCGCTAACTTAAAATAAACTTTTTTTTTGTGATGGTGGGGGTGGGAAGGAGGTGGGGGGGGGGGTGGGGAGAAGAAAGCCACACACAAAAACTTTCTCCATTTCACCTCGTGTCAAGAAATCCCAGTTTCTGCTGAACTCCATTCCTCCAACACCATCCACCCCCCCCCCCCGAACAACTGTTTTGTTGGTTAAAAAACTAAATAATAAAAACCCATACATCTGCACAGAGAGGTTTTGGGAGCTGGATGCGACAGGAATAAAAAGAAAGGAGCTGGCTGTGAGCTCCGTTAAGAAAGATGCCATGCTTTAGCCCCCTTTTTTTGTTCGAACGAGCGAGGCATCTAGAGAACCATTCCGCATTCAATCACTCACTCATTCACACAGATGGGGTCTTTTCCCCTTCCACAGACACACACAATAGAGATTCAAACGGGATTCCACCGTCCCCCCGACCAGATTCACAGTCGGTCCAAAGGAGAGAGAAAAAAAAATCCCAAATAAACTAGCAAAATAAAACACAACACACACACACACACACACAGATCTAGCAGCAACCTCCAGCTTCTCCCATTGTTCAGGACGCCAAGCGCTTTGACAATGTGCCAAACACACTGCACCAAGGTCACACTTCACTTACCTTTCCTCGCAGCTTTCATCCTGTTCCACTTTTTTTTAGAGTTTCTGTCGAACGGCAGAGTTTGGGTTTTGTAGCTTCATATAAAAGTGTAAAGGGGGGGTGGGGGGAGTTAGGAAGGAGAAGGGAGGTGGAAAGTGCTGAGCACGTTGCGTGTGTGTGTGTGTGTGTACTGCTGCTGCTCCACTCGTCTTTCTCCTGCGAGGACAGCGTGGCGCAGTTAAACAAAGCTTTCGCTCGCTCGCTTTGCCTGCCTGCTCCTCTCCCTCCCTCCCTCTCTCTCTTTCTCTGTCTGTCTGTCTGTCTACCTGCTGCTGATCCTGATTGCAAATGCTACTGCTGACTCCACTCCTGACAAACCCTGACAGCTCACCCCGGAAACGACCTGACACTGACGTCACCTGAAATCACAACTTGCCTCTGGAGCTGCAGCCCAGCAGCAATGTGACACATACTTACACAAGGCTCCACTCCTGTCAAACTTCCACGCAATCCCCCAGCACAGCAGCAGCGGCAGATATTTCCAACCATTATGTTTCACGACTGTTGCACGCCAAAGCTTCTTGCACCGATGATCAAAAGCCTTTTTTTTTGCTCTCTTTCTCCCTCTCTTTAGGGAGATCTAGGTTAACAATTGTGTCTTCTTGTGTAGACCAAAAATAGCAAGACATCAAAAGCATTGTTGTTTTATCTAAGCGTAAACATTGAATGAAATGTATCCGTTTGAAAGGAGGAAAAATCTTTTTCCTGTTTGCCAAATACGCATATGGTGTAAACTGTATCTCCAAACTACAATGTAGAACAGACTTGGTGCTGAATGATTAATATTGTTTGCGTGATATTTCCAAAATCGGCTGCATTTTAATGCATTAAAATTGTCATTTAAAGATACTGAATTTTGTTAAATGATAGGGGAGTAGTCATTTCTTGGTTTGTATTGCAAAAGTGTTTTGTCACTTGTGCATGATGTCATTTTCACTAAAGTAATGGGTGACCTTTCTCCCTAGCAATAAACGAGTTTTTGTTTTAATGTTTATTTTAACTAATTAAAACGTATGTTTTTCTGACAGAAACACAGTCCTTATGATCGTTAACACACATCCTGCAGAGGATGAACTTCAAGGCCTCCTGACACTCATGTGACATTGACCTGAGGATGATTAGTTTGCTGCATTCTTTATTCTTTTAGGTTCCCGTGACTCCCTGCCTTCGCCTCATTGCAGCACAGCTGTGACCTCCATGATGTGGACAATTCAACTTGCATCCCCATTTCTGTAGCACTGGTCTTTTTGTGATATACAGCATTAGGCATTGTATAATGCCACCATGCATTAAGGCAGGATTTCAGGCAGTCTCTATCATAATTTTTGCAGCATTACAGTGAGTGCTAGGAGTAAATAAGTCAGGAATGTACTTTGCTGAGACCTCACTTATTTTAAGACCCTTCCACATTTCTGTTGTAAGTGTTGAGTGGTCTTCACTATGTCAATGTGTACAAATGCAAGCATCCTGAACTGCTGAAAATGCATTATTAAATGCAATTTCATCAGTTTCACAAGAGCAATGCTGTGCTCCAGGAAAGGCTTTTCTCTCTGGTAACTGGTATTGCCACGAGTGAAGGACAGACCATTTGAAGTTAAGATGATCCAAAAGATTATACGCATTTCATGATAACAGTTTTCCTCAGATTTCCTCAGCCATCACTGTGATTGCTGGTTGCTCTGTGCTACAGGAGATCTCGTTTCCTTTATCTTCAGCCACACAGATCCTTAATTCTGGAATTCCCTCCCAGCTCTCTGCTGCTTGAGAATAATTCTTTAACCCCACCTAGTTCAGTTCGAAAATATCTCCTTTAGTGCAAATATTTGTCTTCTTATTCTTCTGTGAAGCATTTGAAAATGGTTTGCTATGTTACAAATGCCACAGAAATATAAAATGTTTTTTAAACTATGGAATAGTTTTTAAACTATGAAAAAACTGTGAATGATAATGGAATAGTGTAGGTTAGATGGGCTTCAGATTGGTTTCACAGGTCGGCGCAACATCGAGGGCCAAAGGGCCTATACTGCGCTGTAATGTTCTATGTTCTATGAAGACCGCTAAAGATATTCTAAAAGACCCTTTAGGTCAATTCTCCACAGAAAGTAGGAAATCTGCCACAATAATAAAAGTGACACCAAGGTTAGAAACTTTGCCCGTGTCATGGGTGGATCCTTGTGGTGGGAAGAAAATGTGCCACTGAGTCTTCGTGAGAATAGCATTTTTAATAGAAATGCATTTTCAGGAACTTGTCACTTCACTTTTTTTACATTAACTGTTATATTCTGTCTATTTGGGTTATGGGATTAGCTCTTGAAATACAAATAAAATTATCATTCTACATAGTAGGATCATGTATGTCTAGTGTATTTTATGCTTTTCGTGTAACAGGACAAAGGCAAAGGTTAGAAGGAGGATGAATTTACAATGCTCACTTTCACATCTCCATTAATAACACATAATCCATATTTTTTACCTTTATGAACCTGAAGGGTGTAATCATGAAACTAATGTATTAATGAGCTAGGATAATGAGACCTGATTTGCCTATGCAAATTGGGTTAATTGCAAAATCGTCTTGCTGCCTGTTACTCAAAACCTACAATTCCTATATTTAGAATGCACTGAGGGCATGGATAATATTCAGGGAATGGCATGCTGCAATATATTAGATTTCAGTCTTACATAAGCTGGTGATAATTAAATATATTATTTATGCATTATGTCAAAGTATGGCTTAATCCTTGTTGTTCACTGCCATCATTTCTTGTCCCTTTCCTGCGTCAGAACAGAAGGAACGTAAATTGGTGATATTATTTCATGAGGTGATCATTCTGTTTACTTAAGAGCAGTAATAATTTTCTATTTTGCCAGTAGTACAGGAACCTTCATATTTCTTTTCATATTTTGAACCCTTCATATTTATTGTAATGCCAATGCTGATTTGGGCTTTTAGTCACTCTACGTGCAAATGTACAAGTATTTATATTTCAGTGTGTTCTGTTGTCTAGCTGCAAAAGCCATACTACTTGTGGTGCAAGAATGTGGTGTCACAAGGCAAATAAATTGAGCTTTGTATTACAATTGATAAAACAATGGGAGAATCTGCCTCCCATTTTACTGGTTTCTCTAAACAACACTAGGGAACAAACCTGAGGCAACTTTGAACAGAATTCAACCAATTTATTATGTGTGAGCTTGAACTTCAGCTTATTCTGGGTTATTTCAACTACCAGGCACCAGAAGATGCAAGAAGAAGAAAGTCATCATCTTCAAATCTTTCTTTATGTCTGTTTCCTTAGCCTTTTCATGTAATGAACTGATATGGGGTGACCAAAGCTTGTACATAGGGGAGATCTTATCACAGTTTTTATGTGAAATTTGCTGGATGTTGTTTATGCATAGTTATCCAATAAAATGAATTGGTGTTCGGCTTATTGAATTGTAAAATATATAATCTTATCTCCATATTTTTGAATACAATTGTATCATTCGATAACTTTCATTTAGACTGTTACTTGTGAATAGTTTGGATCTATTTCCTTTTCCATTGCAGTGTCTCCAACAAGGACCTCAACCACAATGGATGTAATAAAAAAACAGAATTAGCTATTAAAATATTTCTGAAGCTTGACTAACAGAGAAGATCACTCTGAAACTGTGGCTTTCAAAGGTTTCTGTTGGTGGCGGAAACTTTGCACTATTGACATGTTACTGGATATGCAAATCCTAACTTCTCGAAGACTGTACAATTAATTCATTTTTAAAAACTACAAATGCTAGAAATCTAAAATACAACATCTGTGAAGATAAAGCAGGTCTTCCACTGATCTGGCCTGCATGCCATGAATGCGGAGACCCATCCACAACAATGAGTAGAGGGACCATTGAAGAGATTTTAATAGTGATGACCAATTATGATGCCGCTGCGAGGCCCCTGCCATCCAAATAAGGATGGCCTCTGCCTCTTTGAGAAGCTGTGCCCCCCGCAATATAGCACTGGCAGTTCAGCAGTTTCATGAATAGTTGATACCATAAGGCCATGAGACATAGGAACAGAAATTAGGCCATTCAGCCCATTGATTCTGCTCTGCCATTCAATCGTGGCTGATAAGTTTCTGGACTCCATTCTCCCAACTTCTCCGCATAACCTTTGATCCCCTTAACAGTCAAGAACCTATCTATCTCTGACTTAAATATACTCAATGATCTGGCCTCCACAGCCTTCTGTGGCAATGAATTCCATTGATTCACCACTCAGTGGTTGAAGAAGTTTCTCCTCAACTCCAATCCCTTTACTCTATGGCTGTGCCCTCGAGTCCTATTCGCTCCTGCTAATGGAAATATCTTCCCAATGTCCACTTCATCCAGGCCTTTCAGTATTCTGTAAGTTTCAGTTCGATTGCCCCCATCCTTCTAAACTCCATCGAGTATAGACCCAGAGTCCTCAAATATTCCTCATATGTTAAGCCTCTCCTTCTTGGGATCATTCTCGTGAACCTTCTCTGGACTCTCTCCAGGGTCAGTACATCCTTCCTGAGATATGGGGCCCAAAATTGCTCACAATATTCTAAATGTGGTCTGACCAGACCCTTATAAAGCCTCAGAAGTACATTCCTGCTTTTATATTCTAGCCCTTTTGAAATAAATGACAACATTGTATTTGCCTTCCTAATTACCAACTAAACCTTCAAGTTAACCTTAAGAGAATCCTGGACTAGGACTCCCAAATCCCTTTGCACTTCAGATTTCTGATTTCTTTTCCCTATTTAGGAAATAGTCTATGTCTCTATTCTTCCTACCAAAGTGCATGACCTCACACTTTCCCACATTGTGTTCCATCTGCCATGCAATGGAGAAAGAGAGGGAGTCTATATGTGGAAGAGCTCCTGAAAGGCCAGTCAGGATGTTTCTTTAATGTTCTTCGGTAGGCAGGTCCCAACAGGCAGGTGGGTGAACCCTGCAGCATCAGAGGCAAATCTGCACAGACATCCATCAACTCCAGGGCAGCACCTTCGTGGGCTATTGACCATCCAGAAAGGAGGACATTCCTCTGGAAAACTACTCGCAGGTCACTTCATTGAAGCTGACAGACTCTTCATGCAGCCGACCTCAAATGGGCTTGTAAAAGCCCTATCCTTATTTCAGAGCAAAACACCTTTTATGCAAAATGTTCATCTCATGTTTGCTCATTACAGACACTGACAGATCTGTGTATTTACAGCAGAGTTATTCCAAAAGATAGTGCCAATAACTTCATTGCAGAAAACACTTTTTACTGCTACACTAACATATTGTAATATATGACTCATCATATCACAAGAGGAGGTAAATAATCAATATTGACAGAATGTGAAAACTCTGG